TACTGCACGTTGGGTTGATTGGAGCATATGGGCCCTCAGATAAACCTGCAGTGAAACCCTCTTAACCTTTCCCCACCAGCCCATAAACCATGCACAAACTAGTTCGAACCTCCAACACACCTGCAAAACATGCACCACTGACACCTATGGAAAGCACGTTCATTGGCGCGACCTGGTGCCTGATCAGATCGTGAGGGACACACGTAGGAAGAAGATTGCAAGTTTGTCTGCCTCTGTGCCTGATAATAACACCGTATGACCGAAATGCACGAAAGACCAACATGCACATGCTCAGAGGATATCGAATGAGATAGACTTTGGATAATCACTCCCGACAGCATATCCGTGCATTCCTACGTAAAATAATGAAAAGCAATGCAACCTACTTCGACGGAATGCCTCGGCCCTCACATTCACTACTGTGTGCATGAGGTGACTTAGTGAACGTTTCTGCAGGAGGTCTCCATGGCACGCCCAGATATTTGAGATTCAAGCCCATCCCTTCTGCAAAGACCTTGTATATCGTGCGGTGTCAGTGCGAGTGCAGTACGCGTACGCAACCTGTTCAACGTCGTCAGACACTGAACTCGAGCCCACCTTCCATCTTCTGGATATCCTCTTGCTATTGGGACAATGCAGTGCGATGCGAGAATAGACGGTAGATTTTGCGATTGTCCGCTTTACCATAAAGTAATTGATTTGCTAATCATAGGCTCTAGCCTCAATCCGTGATACACATGGAGGGCGGCAGAATTACAATCTTTGTTGAATTAACCGTTTTTGAAATATTCATTCGGACACAAACCGATATGCACTGTTAAGGAAATTTTCTTAAAGAGCGGCTTGAACTCTGCCCCTCTGGTGAATGAAATGACGTTCAATTCACTGTACCAGAGCTGCTTAATCCCTAGAAACAAAATTTCCTTTCGAATTACCAAGAGTCCCAGTGATTCTGATGTGGACTTTTCAAAATATTGTCCGTTTGAAGTGATGAACAGGAGGTTTAGGATATTTTAGGGGATCTAACTATTTATTAACAAATGTTGGTATTTATTATAACATGTGAAGGCAAATGAAGCGCAACGGTGCGCATCGTGACCGAGGGTATTGATTGTTAATTGGGAAACAGTCGATCCAGCTAACATAATATCCATGTTTTCAAAGGAAAACAGGTGAGTCCTCTCGAGGAAAGTTAGAGGCTAAATTGCCAAAGCTTTGGGTGGCTAATAGGATGTGCAATGCCTCAGTTTAGTTGAGAAAAGGGTAACGATTGGATATGTTACCTCGTCTGTATAACTATAACATGTGCATTTATTTGATTAAGGTAGCTATGTTAGATTCGCGTTATAGTTGCTGTTAAACATGCGAAAATTATTACGGATAGGGCTAAAACTAGGAGTAAAGTAAAGATTAGGGGGGGGGAGAGGAGTCATATGTTCTATTCGTCAGCGTAAGGTTAACGACGACGGACTTTAGGCCGTTCTCTCATTTGGCTATTTCTAGTACCTACATGACGTAAAGTGAAAGCAAGCAAACCCACACAACTGCCTCCAGAGAAGTGGATAAAAAAGGTTGCGGCTACTGCTAACCCTCTGTGGAAGCTGCGGTGGACATAAGGATAGCAGACGTAGCAGCTACGGACGAGGCAGACATTGGTGTGTCATCGCAGTTTAGCTCCAGGTCCTTGTTCAGCTTCCGCGAATGTACGGAGGTCTGGGAGGTGGCGAAAAGCCCAGAACTGCTGCTGCCAGCAGCGAGTGGAGGTTGGGCAGTGATGCTGGGCTGCCTTAAGCACCGTGGCGCAGCGGGCAAATTAGGTAAGGTAGCGCCCGAGCGGAGGCATATCAGCGGAGACGGTGGTGATGGTACGGAGAATTGGGAGGTGGATGGAGTCCCAGAGCTACTGCTGACAGCAACAGAAGCACCCAGACGACGGTGGGGTGGTGGTGGTGGCTCAGCAGTTTTTCTGGCATGCCTCAAGGGCGGCGATAGAGCAGGTGCGAAGTAAGTGATGCACGAACGAAGTAGCGTTGGAGGAGGAGGGGAGGGATCATCACTGTGAGGTCTGTTGTGGAAGAACAAGTTGACGATGGCACCGGTCCTGCAGGTGGCTGGGTATTCAGCGTCGGGGGGCTGGATACCGTCGCATCGGATTCGTGTTCTTCTGCTGAGCATGTAGCCAGATCGTCAAAGACGCTACAACGTCGTAACGGGAAGTAGAAGGAAGGATAACAGTAAACAGGATGTATGGGGTAATTATCGTGCAAACTCGAATGGCAAAAGTCGTTTAAGTAGTGGACCTTATATATCCCTTACCCCAGTCTTGTGTCTCGTATCTTTTGAGGTAAAAACAACCCGTCTGTAACTACTACTGCGGCGAACTAAAATGAATACGCAAATTACGCCTACTGAAATGCCTTTAGTAGTTGCTGAAGTACATTGTTAAAACATCCACAATTATCCTACTCCTACCCATGGACAGTACTGAAGTCATCGGCCGGTATCATCTGCATTAAATTCACCCTTAATAAAAATGGCTTTAATTTTGTATGCAAGCAGTGACTAGCAAATTGAAACGCAAATCCAATAGGAAACTAACCAATTATTGGGGGAAGGTAGCAACAAAGCAACCTACGTTCTTGGTGCAGAATTAAGCGCCACAAAAGTACGCTTTTCGGACTGTTCAGTGGTGGTGGCAGCAATGGAATGGACATCAGCGAGTTGGGTCACGTTACCCTCCTGATCTTCATCATCGTCGTCAAGGAGAAGGACACAGCCATTGAATGGATAAATTTCACATTCTCCTGGTGTCCCGGGCCTGGGCAAGAAATATGACTCCAATATACACGGCGACATCATAGATATCTCATTGGGCAGTGGAGGATCAGCAGCAATTGTCGAGTTGGCAGAAGAAGACATTTTTGGAATTAATTCTTTGGTGGATATGGGAGCAGCGGAACCATATTTCGTGAGAGTAGAGGCTCCTGGCAGGTACCCATTGGCAGTTACGTGGACCATTTCAACATTTGTCATACACCCATCGGCCATCAGTTTGACGAAAAAGCTAAAAACAACGAAGGAGAAAGTGTGTGGGTTCTTTGAACATAGTTTTACGACAAAAACAGTGTAGAGAGGTTAGGTTTAGGAGTATTACTTGCAATGAAGGGACATTTGTCAACAACGCTTTAAGCCTTTCACAAAAACAAAGGGTAAGGAACTACCATGGGGTCCCCAGAGTGCGCACGGAGCGCGCTCCACTCCAATAAGAGCGCCGGGTTTTAGAGGAAAGATTGGGAGGGGCGAATTGGGGAACGAATCAGGGTGCAATAAGCATGTAAATTAAGAAAGTTACGCGTGCAAGTTGGGGGGGAGGTGTTCCTTGACCTTGGGCGAGGTCACTGACGTACATTTTAATATCACCACTACCCCCTTCTGGACCAACGGCGAGCGCGTATATATTAAGGGTTGTTCGCTGACCGTGATCGAAGTCAGTAAGGTGCATTTTTTAATGTCATCATCAATCCCAGTAAGATCAACGCCGTTGGGCGAAAAATTGGAAGATTGTGGAAATTCACCCAACTTAAGATTTGTAAGTTAGTGGTTATTTTTAGGGTTAATTTAAAAAGTCAGTGTGCCTAATAAACGGACTGAAGTGGTTATTGTACATGTTACCCTTCTAAGCACCCCTCTTTAGTTCCCTGCCGGCAGCTGAGTGGAAACGCAAATTTGATTAGCACTAAACAGGTTACCGAGAGAGGCTAGAACGACTAAAAACCAACTTAATTCTTTGGTGCCGAATCGAGCGCCTTAGAAGGAAGTTCTAATCATTTTTTATCTGTGATGGCAATGGGGAGGATTGCACCATAGCAACAATGAGAGGACGTGGAATTGGAAGCATTGGGTTGCTCCAGTTGCGTCGCGCCATCCTCGTCATCAAGGAGAATGACACAGTCGTTGCATGGTGAAACTTCACTTTTTCCTG